AACAATAATGAGGAACAAATACATTTAACTGGATTTAAAATAAATATGCATCCTTAAATCTACTAGAGTTTCTTTGAAGTATCTGTGACATGCCAATAATAGTTAAGTATTTGATCTTAATTTGCGTAACATTTTAAGTAGTTCATAATGCATTTCCATTTTATTAAGAACCTTACTCATAGGTTCTTAAAAATGACATTCTGAAGTATCCGAAACAAATGCTAGTATTCCAATTTTATAGCTGAAAAATTTTATAGATGATATAGCCAATAAATGATTTTTGAAAATGAAAGTTTAAAAAGTGAAAATTTTTGATTCAAACTTATACCAGGTTATCTTTCTCCTAATTACTACTAATCCAATTATATTATCTCATTCAAAACACAATTTAAAAAAATTGTTCCAGATTTTTGCTTAACAAACTTTGTCTTTTGACAAAATGTCTGTGCAAAATTACATGTATCACAAATGTTTATCTTGGATTTATGAGTATAATCTAAGGCAGTCAAAGAATTACACAGCTACAAGTTCATACTGCTAGAGACTTGATACAATTCAACTGAGAAAAAATAATAAAATAAACTTCTATATCTATTTCCCATGTTTATTATCAGCTAGTGGCTGGACAAAAAAGCATGGGATCAAGTTATGTGGTAAGAGCAGATTAAATTATTCAGTTTAAATTAGGCTACCTGTAAAATACAGTAGAAATTAAGGAATAGAACAGTTAATGGGATTGTAATTAAACTTTAAAAATATATTGCACAAAATATTTACTTTGATGTTTTGCTTGCATCTACAAGATTAGAGACCCTTTAGTCTTAGCTACATGCACTGTTTCTTCTTAGTTTTCTCTGTGCCTTTTAAAGTATTGCTTTCTATATCTTTTATCCCCATTCATCCTTCCATTTTTCTCTATTTAATTCTTGTCCTTCATTACATTATATGCCAAGCTCAGGTATTCAAATGTAAAGATTCATAGGCAAATATGTCATGTTGCTTAAGGAGCTCTAAGTTTCATTCTCAATCTGTGCCTTAAAACTAGAACTTTCTGAGCAACATTAGTAAGAGCATTTAATCCAATTTGATATGGGGAATGGCCTGAAGAAGTTGCATTTACTCTGCTTCCAGACTGGTTCTTGTTCTCTCTCACTCCCTACTTTTTTTCAGGCTCTCTCAAACTTGTTATCTTTTAGTTTTTCTCTGGTTTCAAGCCATTTACCCTCCTGTGACCATTTGATATCCTGCTTCTCTCATTTTACCCTCAGTGCTTTCTATTCTTTGGTGTGTAGCTACTCTTTGGTTCTTGAGGTAACTTTATGTCAGCGAGTTCTAGTAACTACTTTGTTTACTTCAAGCCTCTCCCGGAAACGTCCCACTAGACTCGTAAAAGGAGTGGTTCGCCCCCAACCCTCTGCAAGTAGCGAAGGTAGGGGATTGTTTATTCTCAGCCTGTATATAAATAACTACCATCTCAGATAGAAATTACATTGCCCTAAAGAAATGCGAAATAAGAGTTGGTTTAGGAAGGAAGCAATTGATCATAAAATAGTATTAATAATGACATATTGGGTAATAAGAATTTCACTATTTGAACAGTTGACTTAAGGAAAAAGAGTAGCTTAGTGAGGTGAAGTTCCATTCCTGTGAAATTCTTCAGGTGAAATTCAAGTTTGCATCCAACTGATCACTAGTATATCGGAAGCATTTTGCGCTCACTGTAATAATGACAAGTAATGATATATTTTGTCCTGTGATATTTAATATCAATAATCTGTGCTTTAAAAATTATTTCATTTTGTGTAGCTCACTTAATTTCCTAATATAAAAAACTCTCATTAAGAAAGCCACACTGGGAAACTAAATGCTTCATACGTATTATAACACACCCTGCTTTTATCTAGAATTTATACTAACAGACAGTGGGTAAAATGACATAGAATCATACAAGTGGTTCAAAAAATATTCAATTGGAATAGATATATTAGGAAAGATATAAAAATTTTAAATAATTTAGAAATAGCAATTGATAATACTGTATGTAAAGTAGAATGTTGATTATAAGAAAGACTATAATTCTCATTCTTAAATCTTTTTTTAAAAAATAGGTGATTTCCTGTACCTAGGAAGCAATTTTCTTGAATAAATAATCAGAGGCTTTTGGATGTGAAGGTAATTTTAGTCGTCTATTCAAAACCTTTAGAGATGAGAAAGCTTCCTTCTCGGAGACTGATTTCTGGCAGGGACATATGACTAAGTAACAGCAAAAAAATAGAACTATATTCTATGCCTTTTGCTTTCCTGAACAATATTCATAATATTATTATTATTTTAGTAATATATTTTTTCTTAAGTAATTTGGTTTGAAGCTTTGAGGAAAAATAATTACATTGAAAAATCTAGGGTATTACAAAAAGAGGTAAAGTTCAAGGCCAGAGATACTGTCTCCAAGGCAGTTTTACTCTTTAAAAATATGATATCTAATAAACATAATTTTGATGAGGCTTTCTTTGATTTAGAGGGGGTCAGATTAACCATGCTTATAATAAAGTGATGCTCTATTTTATTCTAAGTAAAATGTTTGCTTTAAGTCAGAAAAACATACAGAAAATGAACTTACCTCTTTCCACTTAAATCTAAAGCAGTTTGAACATTATAACTCATGACTTAAGAAATAATGATATTAATAAATAATTTTACCTAAAATGAAAAAAGCACAAAAGAAATCAAATGGTTAAAATTACTTTGATAATAATTTAAACATTAAAAGAGAAGAGCACTAAATAATACAGTCAAGTTCCTACATGAAATGAACCGATATTTTGACATAGGGTTTTTTCCATAATGTTTGAAGTTAAAAGACAGAGATCCTGATTTGATACTTCTTGGGGAAATAACTTCCTCAACTGCAAAATGCTCATGACAGACTAGGAATCACGAGAATATAAGACAGTCTTGCAAAAGCAAGAGCATAACATGGCAAGAGAACGAACGTGCAGAACAGAATATTGGTTATTGCTAAACTGTCAGATCCACTTACTAACTAAGAATATAGGAGTATGAACACTGTAAAAACTGTGCCCGAACTAATGGAATTTGGATATTGAAAAAATAGAACTCCATTTACAAAATCAGTTGTTCAGAATACAAATAGGTCAATTGAATGAATTTATAAATGAATACAAATTTCATTCCCTAGTAAACATTACTATGAAGCATTCCCTATGAAACATCAAATTAAAAAAGGGTTATTCAAATATCTGAACTGGGATCAAGAGGATGTGGATGTCAAACTATTATGAAGTGGATAAACATATTATATAACACCTAAAGCAGGACTAGTTGCTCCTTTCTGTATATGTAACTAACCAAATGAATTTAGTTACTGTTATTCCAGACCAGAAGACTGGAATACAGTGACTCCTATCAGTTTACATTTCCTATTTAAATGTTTCTCTATATCATCTATTTCATCTTTCATTTCTCTAGAGAAAGTTCACTGATTTCCAGAGGAATTATAAATAGAAGTAATTCATTTAGCTAAGACAAAAAAGACAATAGAACGTATTGAAATTTTATTATAAAAAGAAACCAAATTTATATCTGATAGAAAAAAAAATGTTTCCTCATCATTCATGTATTATCCAGAAAATCTTAACATTTTTGATAAAATTACGAGTCTCTCACCTGGGAATAGATGTGTAAATATTTTATATGGTGTCTTTAACTTAATGAGTTATCATGCAATAGAAAGTTTTTAAGCCTGAATTACTCAGTACTATTCTACTTTTTAAATTAATTCAAATCTAATTCAATACTATTAAATTAGTATTAATTTAGTATTAATTTATTTATTATTATACTTTCTCAATGGGACCAAGCACAATGTTAAACATACCATATAGTTTTATTTATGCTTCATAATGTATATTTTAATGGACACTAATAACAATTTGTGGATTTCTTGCATAATGACATACAGAACTCTAATAGAAAACTTTCACTGAATATTACATATGTATCAGTGACCATAATTTGTCCTGTTCATATGGTATATTTTGTGATCTTCACAAGCTTGTAATGAAGGAAATACTACCAGCATTATTCTTCTCAATAAAGATGAAGAAACAGATGCTTAGAGAGATTAAATAAGTGGCCCCAAGTCACTAACCCGGATATTAAGCAGCAGTGTTGATACTGGTAGCAGACCCGTCTGCTTCCAAAACCTGTACTTCTGACCAGTTAACATCTTTGTTTCTAATGTGTATGGCTTCTATGGGTACCCACGTATAATGGGTACAGTGTTGAACATGACACATCTGTAGCCATGCTTCCCTCATTAGTCTATATCAGAAAAGAAGAGATGGTTTTCCCCATGTCTATCTCTCATCCCTCTGATTGTACTCTGCCTTCTCTGTGTGTCAACTACTCCCAAATATTTAGTGCATTCCTAGTTTTCTCCTCAGTGCGTCTGTATTCAGGGCTGTGCCTACCTGATAACCTTAACATCCATGCAGTTGTTTCCCTTTTAATATGTGAGTTATACTTAATAACTCATTCATGCTTATAGTTCATATAAGTAAAATATGTCAATTCTAATTTTAAAGTAAAACACACCCAGTTGTCTCTATCTTCATGTCTTCCTTCGCTTTAGTCCAATTCATAGGCTTCTAAACCAGTCATCTAAAATCCCTTTGCCTTCATTTTTTCTCCTTATATTTGTTCTCTAGACAGCAACCAGGTTGATTTTTTTAAAACACACAAAGGTAAGCAGTTAACATCATACTCCATGATGGCTGGTTGAAGAAATTCACCATTCTGTAGGAAATACAGTTTGTATGGCTGCCTGAAGATCCATGAAGTTTGACTGCCGTGGAACAATCCCCATTACCACTCCAAATCCTGGTTTCTGCACCATGCCTCCACTGGGATGGCCTCTCATTCCACCACCCAGCCCACCTTGAGGGTCTCCAGGACCCTGAAGATGATTATCTCATAGGAAAAATATGGAACACTTCATGAATTTGCATGTCATCCTTGCACAGGGGCCATGCTAATCTCCATATTATTCCAATTTTAGTATATATGCTGCTAAAGCAAGCATCAAACTAATTTTTACATGAGTAATACCTACATATAAACTACAACATACATGCACATAAACACTAAAACGGTACAAACATAGAGTGAAAAGTTAAAATTCTTCCCACAACTGTTGATTGTATTAGGTTGGTGCAAAGTCATTGTGGTTTTCGCCAAGTTACTTTCAAAAACCACAATTACTTTTGCACCAACCTAATAGTTGACACATATGTGAAAATTGTTGTGTTTTGATCCTGGATGCCTTATAGAATTCTTGTAACTGTTTTTTACCACAACTGAGTACATTGACTCTTGGAATAAAAATTACATTTCCTGCAAAATATACGGTTAGGTGATTTATTAACTATATATAACTTTTCCTTTCTGATTTATTGTATTGGCTAGATCCTAAAGATGATGCTGGGTAGACACTGTGAAAGAGGGCGTCCTTCTCTTTTTCCCAATTTAATAAGAGTGCTTCTGAAAGTTCGTATAAGTGTATTGAAGTTTTTAGAGGATTCCATTCATTAAACAGAGGAGTTGCTTTCTTCTCTTAGTATGGTAAATGTTGAGTGAATGAATAAAGAAAATGTAGTATATACACACATTGGAAAATCCTTCAGCCATAAAAAGGAAGGAAATCCTGTTCTTGATGACAACATAAATGAACCTTGAGAACCTATGTTAAGAGAAATGTCAGGAACAGAAAGACAAATACCACATAATATCATTTATATATGGAATCCAAAAAAGTTGAACTCACAGAAGCAAAATGGTGGTTTCCAGGAGCTAGGGGATTGGTCTAGCAAGATGTTAGTCAAAGGATACAAAATCTCAGATGGAAGAGATAAGTTCGAGCGTTCTATGTATAGCATGATGACTATAGTTAACAACAATCTACTATATACTTGCAAATTACTGAGTACATTTTTTTTTTTTTTTTTTTTTGAGACGGAGTCTTGCTCTGTATCCCGGGCTGGACTGCAGTGGCCGGATCTCAGCTCACTGCAAGCTCCGCCTCCCGGGTTTACGCCATTCTCCTGCCTCAGCCTCCCGAGTAGCTGGGACTACAGGCGCCCGCCACCTCGCCCGGCTAGTTTTTTGTATTTTTAGTAGAGACGGGGTTTCACCGTGTTAGCCAGGATGGTCTCGATCTCCTGACCTCGTGATCCGCCCGTCTCGGCCTCCCAAAGTGCTGGGATTACAGGCTTGAGCCACCGCGCCCGGCCCTGAGTACATTTTAAATGTCTCACTACCAAAAAAAAGTATGTGAGGTAGTGTATGTAAAAAGTAGCTTGATTTAGCCACTCCACAATGATTTGACAGATAAAGCAAAATATCATGTGGTACACTATAAATACATACAATTTTTATTTGTCAGTCTAAAAACGGAGTCGATCAATAGTAACAATTGATGAAAACATTTTAACTAGAGCTGAGATATTATAGATTTTTGTAGAAGTGCATTAGGGAAGTGCCTTAGGAAAGAAAATTTTTGTATTCCAAGTGTGGTTGATAGAGTTGAATTACAGTAGGATTTTGTTTTAAATTACCTTTAAAAAAAATACATAGCTAGGTGTGGTGGCACATAGCTGTTGTCCCAGCTGCTTGAGAGGCTGAGGCAGGAGGATTGCTTAACCCAGGAGTTTTGAATCTAGTCTGGGCAACATAGTGAGAACCCATCTCTTAAAAAGTAATTACCTTTTTAAACCTAAGAAATTAGCTCTAGTTGGTCAAAAAGTATGATTATTTTAAAATTACTGCATTTATTTGATATATTTTAAAATTTGAGCATTTGTATTCATGTTCACATTGAACATCATAAACGAAATTTTTATCATATATAAGATTATTTTATAGTTTTTGTTTGTTTTCCTTTACTAATTCTGTTTTGCCTGTTAGCCTCTAAGCATTCTTATTTCCCATATTTGTGTCTAGATTAAGAAAAGCAAATGTTTGTTTTTTAAGACTTTAAAGTTGATTAGAAGCAGTTTTATGTTATAAATTAACCTTTCTTGTTCTTTACTTTGGTCATCAGTATCTGGTTTATAAAAATAAATATTTTCATTATTTTCATAACTTTTATAGTTGAAAGCAAGAATTTAATGTTCTATACTCCTCTCTCAGATATCTTTAGCTTTAAAAAAATACATATTAGGTTTGAAATTGTCTTTTGAGAATATCTTTGATATTTTTCTCTTGGATTTGATACATAGTGCCATTATTTTTCATATATAGATAAATGTACATAGATATGCATAGAAATTACCAAACTTTAAATGTACATACTAATGTGTATGTGAATAAATATGGGTTGTTTAGTCAAGTTTTAAAAAATTATTTATTTTTCATATTAAACCAATATTGTATGATATCTTTTATAGATTGATGGATATTTTCTTTGTGGCCTAATGTCATCAATGCCTTCCAATTCTATAGGACTCATTGTAAAGAATAGTTTATGCTTCTTTGGATTCAGAGTTCTCCATGTATTTATTTATACATATATATAACTATGTTATTCAAATTCTTTATTTTCTTCTTGGTCCCTCCTGTGTTCTGACAAGACCCTGTTATTGTCTCATCAAAATATTTATCTCTGTTTGTATTAATTGCCCATGTATCTGTCATTTTCTTCTCTATTTTGTAAATACTCCTTGAATGCAGTCAACATTTTGTCCCCAGTTTAGTACGTGGCTCACAATAATTAGTATGTCAAGTATAGTACATGACTCACAATAATTCTCAATATTATTTGTTGAGTGAATGAACATTCAGTAATTGGCTAATGTTCACTATTTTCTTAAGGGTTTCAATAATCTAGAACTTAGTGTGAACAAACTTAGTGTGAACAAGAACATTTTCTCATCCCACCTTGATGTCAACAGATCAATTCCTCATAAATATTGAACTGTTATAAAAATTATAAGTGATTATTTTCTTTTGGTTTTGCTGTAAAGCTAGTGTAATTAGCTTTGGGGGGTTAATATTATTGATTACTTATTAGTTAATCCTGATGACCGAAACATAATTACAGTTGACTCTGAATATCTAAAATACATTAGGAAATTAAGCAGATATTTAAGTTTAATAAATGATTTACTCCACTATCTGATAGAACAATTCATCTCAAACATCCTTTCTCAGGAAGTCTCATACATTTCCCTGATTTGATCCTTCATGATTTCTTTTAGTTTGTGTGGAATTGTACACATTTTCTTGGCTTTTTGATGGAATGAGTCAGATTCTACTAAGACTGATAAGCCCAATTTCCCTTTGTATCACTTATAGTTAGTCTCTTCTACCTCAGTGATACACAAAGAAACCCTGGGGGCCTTTTACCTCAATAGTAAAACATTTCCACTGGCACAAGTTTTCCACTAGAACAGCCCACCAGTGAGCTTTAGAGCACATATAAATGTTGTTTTCCCTGTAGCAGCCTGGCTGACTTTCCCTTTCATCGAGAACCCCAGGGATTTGATGTGAATCATTCCCATTGAGGTTAATTGGACAACACATTGAGAAAACTGGCCATAAACTCAAACATTATCTGCTCTGATGCTAAAGACCAAATAGCACAATTGCAGTTTATTTTAATTGGCACCCTCCTGTGAAGAGAGAAAGAAGTCAATTATCAGATTATTCTAATTATCAGAAGCATGCAAGCATAACCCTGTGTTGAATGTTTTTTTTCTTCTTCATTCAATAACCTATGTTGTTCCCTTACATTTTATTTGATAGAAAATATTTAGATTAATAAATACAGCCCCTATTAACTATTATCATATGTACTGAAATGGAAATAAAATCTCTTTTAATCAAAATCTGGCTGTGATATTTTATTTACCAACATAAAACTTAGTTCACTCATCCATTTCATATCTTGTGGACTTTTTCTATATGTCAGATGTATATTTACTTGAGAAACTATTTTTCAAATATACATATTTGATGTATATTTTTCTGGAGGCATTTTTCCTGGTTTATGTTTATTTATTAATTAGAAATATATGAGGAAGCCTAGCTCCTCTGTGAATGGACTTTATCTTCTGTAGCACCTGGGTGCAACAAACTCAATTACATGGAGACAGAAGTGAAAATTTTGTTTTGTAGGAAATATTACTGAAATTGTTTTAAAAACACAATTTACTAAATAATGAAAGGATTGAGATTTAAGAGGTGAGGTCAAAAATAATAACAATCTTTTTATTAGAAAAATTTTATTTTAACTTTTTAATGTATTATCACTGACTTAATCACATAGCTTTAGCTTTGTTTCTAAGATGCTAAATTATCTTCACCATCAAACGTTCTTTAGCTAGGACACTGAACTGGCCGCTGGGATGTTGAAAAACGATCACTATATTCAGGATGTGTTAACAGACCTTTAAGTCAGAATATGTGTGCAATACATATAAGTTAGTATCACCAGGTCATAAACTGCCTGACAACATGCACCATATGCTGTAATATTTATCTTTTACAATTTCACATTAAGTTGAGCATTTTAAGGAACTCATTCAATGCTTACTAGAGAACTGAGTTGAGAGTAAGTTTGTCTTAAGAAACTACTATATTCTCATGATCTGAAATCATTATTTCCTTTAACATGTCTTATTTTTATAGAAAATCTGGAGGTGTTTATTTTGGAAAATGAATTTACAGAGCAGTCTTTATTATCATCCCTTATTAAGCCATGCCAATAAAGGAATCGGTCAAAAGAAACATAGAATATTTTATGGGAAATAATGCTCCATTTTTTTTTGCATCATAAAACAACGAATTTAGTCCTGACTCTCTAAGTTGCTAGTTATATGATTCTTCTCACTTTCTTGTTATATAAAATGAGAACAAAATCTAACCACTTCAAAGGTAGTTGTGGTAATTAAATGAGCTACTATAGTACCTTGTTGTCAATAAATGAAATCTGTGTATTGGTGTCAATCTCTTGAAAGTTAAGCATATTATATATTAAAAGGTCATCATTCCTCTAGCTTCACAGTGGACATTATATATAAAAAA